AAGTTCTTGCAGTGGGTCAAGTACTCTCAAGGACTACTAGGCCTGTGTTTCCCAGAAGGTACAGATCCAAGGTCAGTCCGACTTGGTGGTGGTGGCGTTACCCCCAGGCTTGCAGGTGTGCTCCAGGAAGGAGGTCGGCCAGATATGAGGCACCCCCAGGGAGGGGTGGGGGGCATGTGTTCCATGCCACCCCCAGCTGCCTGTCTGCCCCTCTGCCAGCCCTGGTGGGGCAGAGCAGGGCTGTCCTATACCATCCTGTCCCAGTGGCAATGGTGCTGTTGGCCACCCACAGACACAAGAGAGCGGGAGTGAGAGTGTGGCCGCTTATGGGGCCTCCTGGCAACAGACGGCCCTGGGAAGCCACCACCATCTACACGGAGCATTGCGCCTGCCCCCTAGTTTTTGGCCCTGGCCTGGCCAGAGTGGAAGAGGTGCACGCTGCCTGCCCCAGATGCCTGCTGCTAGGATGCCTGCCTGGCTGTGCTGCTCCTGGTTCCCCAGAAGACAACTGATTTGCAGGGACCCCTGGACCCAGGCCCTACAGGCTTGTACATTAATCTGCCTCTGACTATAGACTGAAATCTTTGTTTAAAAAAATAAGAAGTGCTGCTGAATACTCAAAAACTTGGCAGCCCAGAAATAAGGCAGAGGTCCAGCTAGCAAAAAGTTAGATAGAATAGGTCCAGAAAGAAAGAAAATGCCCAGAAAAAGTCACTTTAATATAATCAAAAATATAGATCTTAAAGCAGCAAGAACCATTCTAACTATCAATTTTTATGTTCCCTGCATTGAATAAAGGTAACAAAGACCAATCAGTCCAACCAACCAAGAAGGAACGTTTAACTACACTATGTTCTAATTATTTGCTATTCATGTCTGACTGCAGGTAGCAAGGACATTCTCAGATGTGTGGCTAGCCTTTGCAAATCTGGTTGTACAGCCAGCTGGTAATCACACAAACTCATGGGCATGAAGGATGAACTACTCTCACAGGTGAAACATGTTCTCTCCAAATCACAAGAGATATGGAGCTTGTATTGTCTATGGTGGCTGCATGTGTTCTATGCATAATAAAGGATCTCAGTGTTCAGGACTATCAAGATGACACCTTGCTTCAGCACCAAAATTCCTATTAAAAAAAGGAGTTAATTCTTAACTGATCCTTTGTATAGTTTCATTCATTATAAACTGCTGGAACTGATGAACTAGATGTAAGCTCTGGGGTTGTAACCTGATGCATGTTACATTCATTAATCATTTACAAATATTTTCTTACTCAATGCCATAACAGGCCTGCAAATTTTTAAAGAGTTGAGAATATTTTCCAGGAATTTCAATTATTTTTAACTAGTCTTCAGAGAAATAAGTAAACACAGTTTATCCAGTGCATGCATATAACCCATGGTTGTCCAACTTCTAAATGGCCAGGGACCAACCACTCCATGGGTTACACCATCAGAGGTTGCATGCTCATAGGCTACTCCAGGGTAAGCCAGGGCTCCAGAAACAACACACCATGTGCATCCCCCCTCACTTCACCATGTACCCTCCCACCTCCCCAACTACCTGGAGTTGCACACCTGTGCAGCCCCAGGCTCACCCTGAGCTCCCCTGGGTGCACCTTGGGGTAGGAACAGGCAACAAAAGCCAAAGGAGGAAGTGGGAAGCCCAGAGACTCCAGCTGCTGTTTCAGCCAGAGTGATGGGAGCAATGGTAGCCAGGCAGGAGCCCAGAGGCTGCAATTTAGCCCCTTGTGGGCTGCATGTGGCCCCTGGGCTGCCAGCTGGACCACCCTAGACAGTCCAACCATATAAAGCAATCCTACAGTGTGGTGCTTTGTACCAAGGGAACTTGGGAGGTAACAGCTTCCAAATGCAACATACGTTACATGGACACTGTCTACACTCTCAGAGGACCACAGGAAGGAGTGTCACTACAAAGCTTGGCACTCCTGCTCTCTGCTGGGAAGGAAGTGATGTAACTTATCTTAATGCAGTTCTGGGTGTCTACCATAAAGCACACGTGAAAAAGTGGTTTGGGCCATAACCGGTGCCACCTATAGCATCTCAGGTATATGCACATGGAGGCAACAGTTATGATAAAGGCTGAAAGAACCAAGATTATTTAATATGGAAACGAGAAGACGGGGGGGGGTGGAAGGAGGGGTTGATAACCATCTTCAAATACCTGAAGGACAATTATAGAGACTGGAGATGGGCTTTTCTCTGTGGCTGTAGGGGGCAGGACTTGGAGCAATGGTGTCAAGCTTCAGCAGGGGATTGGAGATAAGGAGGAACTTTCTGATGATGAGGGTGCTCAGGCACTAGAACAGGCTACCTTTGGAAACTGTGAAATCTCCATCCTTGGAAAGTTTCAAGGGAAGGTTACATAGACACTTGACTGGGGTGCTTTAGTTAGGGATGATCCTGCCTTGATCAGGGGACTGGACTAGATGACCTTGTGAGGTCCCTTCCAGCCTTACGTTGTTATGAGTACTGTGTCTTGCTGTAGCACTCTTTAACATGGTCAGCTGGGAGTATAGACATAGATCTAGTCTCAAAAGCTTCCTTTTGTAAAGGAAAAAGCCAAACTTTAGTATGGATAGCAAATATTTTGTGATTTTCAAAATAATAAATATTTGAAAAAGGAGGAGCAGTAGGTTAAGAGACTACTGAAATGTTTACAATCCAATGTCTGCAGAATTATACTACTCAGCATCCTTTCCTGCCCATGGCAGAGGGTTGGACTTGATGATCTGCTTAGGTCCCTTCCGACCCTACCAACTATGAAACTATGAAACCCATACTTATTGCTAGAAGGTGATGGACACAAATGGCATGCCTCATCATATTAACCATTCCCATAAAAATCAGCCTAACTATGCCCATCTACTCATAATATTCTTCAGCCTACTTCTCAAGCAGACACAAAAAATGATGATAGTTGCAACGTACCTTGATAATCACTGTATTTGAACAACAGACCAAACCAAGTGGGAAGAATGCAAGGTTAGACAAACACTTGACTGAGATTGTTTAATCAGGGATGATTCTGCCATGAGCAGGAAGTTGGACTAGAAGAACTTTCCAGCCTTATTTTTGAATGAATCTATGATTTTAAGGTCTGGAGACGGGGGTTATTCAGGAGAAATGTTATGTCAGTTTTGAAAGCACATAGGGATCCTATCGATATGCAGGGAGACAGCAGGGAGTAGACTTGTTTAATGGAGTCTGCTGGAGCACGGAAATAAATGTGCTCCAGCAAACTCTGGCTTCACATAGAGCAGTGTCTCCATGCTGAAAAATGATGGCAGGGCACTTTGAACTAAAGCTTGTTCAATGAACTTTAGTTCAAAGTGCCCTGCCACCATTTTTCAGTGCAGGGGACACTGATACACATGAGTTCAGGAGCTTTTAATTAGCACAGCTCACTAATTAAAGTGCCCACTGCGCCTTCTGGAGCACGAGTAAAAATACTCATAGAATTTAGCATAAATTTATGGTACGGAAGAGTGAACACTGAGATGATTAATTTTCATCAAGCAGCCAAGCAGTTCACTGCTGTTATGGCTGAACTTACATTCTCCCCAAATTAATGTCACCTCCATTTAAAAGAATAGGAGAAAAGTTTGTCTGGTTCCTAGTGTTTATGATAAAATTAGAGAGAAATATAGGTTTTTTTTATATGCTTGTGTATCCTGTTGTGTTCGAAGATTTAAGTAGTTTTTCCTCTTTGTAGAAAATTATTGTAGAGGACAACCAGTTTAAAACAAAACCCTGAATAAGAGAACACAGGCTATCACTAAAGCGGCAGTGACTCTGAACCGTGAGTTTTGTTTGGTCCATGGCCAAAGTAAGTTTTCACACTATTATGGAGAATTACTTGTAAAATTCAAGAGCTGTTTAGATTCAGAAGACACTGCAAATTTAATTCATATGAAAAAAAAGAAAAGAAGAAAAGTTTTCAGAGTTTTAAAAATTTTATTTATGTTTTTCCTACTTGAGTTCTTGAGATTTCTCTCAGCTGACATTTGAGCTGGTGTGTACAGAGCAAATCACAGACAATTGTGTATAAAATATGCAAATACTGCTATCATATTTATTTCCACAGAGCTTCAGGCCTCCAGGTGACTTGGAATTTTTTTACTTTCATAGAGCATAGTACATGAAGGAGCTTTGCTGTGGTTTGGTTCTTATCCCTTTAAAATTAGAATTACCTCCCAGTCTGCAGGGTGCAGAAAGCAAAGGGTTAAGAAACTGTAGGAAGAATAAATTGTGAAGAGACTGTTACTAAAATAATTTTCTTCCAAATTTCAAGTGTAATAGGTCTCTTTATCCAAAAAAGGTATTGTTGTTCTGGCAAACAAGCCTGGGCTAGAGGTTGTCTGATGAGTGCTACTGTTTTTTTAAAGAATTGTTGAAATCCCTTTATTGGTTTTGTTTCTTACCACTGGAAAGAAATATAACAGTTTAAAACCAATTAACAAATAAGGATCCACATTCACTTGCTTCAGAAGGAAAGAAATCTCATACAAAGATGTAAAAGCTGTTTTTTAGTATCTACAGCAATTAATTATCCAATCTAAATTAGCATAAATAGACATCAATGGGCATGAATGTTTCTGAGACTTTGGAACCACTTGAAATGCAAGCCCAGACACAGATCCCAGATTATGATAGGGCATAGGGTATTAACATTTCTTCCTTTTCGGCCAGCAGTGTCAAGAGTGAATACTTTTTTTAACTCCTAAGTATTTCTAGCAAATTTTGTTCAAAAAGTCTATGACAGTTGAACATTCAGGTAAATAATAATTCAAATCTTATTACAGCTCCTCTGTTAATGTTTTCCTGATGAAATTTAATTACCTACTGAACCATTAGGTTCAAATTCATACAGTTACTATTTAGTTCTTTAGTTTATCCAACCATTACATATCATATTGACTCATCTCAATGAGCTGTTCTGCAATGTATCTGATTTTAGATCCAAGTATAACTTACTTTCTTGTATTGCATTAAGAATTTCTGAAAAGTCCGCATCTCTCTTCTGCGCATCTGGATCGATTGGTATTTGTGTTTCCAACCGGTTACCTTGCAAATCCTTTCTTCCTTCTGAAGAAACTGAAGAAATTGAAGGAGATTGCAAGAGTGCAGCAGAATATCCAGCAAGGGGGAACTTGAGAAGTGGAGTAAGCTTTACAAAGAATGAAGCTACCTAATCTTTTTCCCCATCCAAGCCAACTTTCCTCCAGAAAAGGCAGGCATAACACAGCACAGACAGGACTTTCCTCAATGCATTTGAGACAAAAGAGCAAAAGCCATAAAATGCTATGCAGTGCACAACTACTGACAGACACCACGGCTGAACTCCCCAAAACAGACACATGCCACCATCATTCCATGAGGCTATTCTCACCATACCAACCACAAGACCAACTCCAGTATGTGAGAATGAAGTAGTAGTACAAACAATGTGATGCCACCACAATAGCTAATTAAAATGAAACACGCTAATATGTGAAACAAAATGAAGTCTCAAGACAGCAATAAGGCATCAGGAAGTATAGAGCAGAAACAGGACGTTGATCAGATCATGCCACAAGACCTCCTATATATGCCAGCATGATACAATTGCATTATGTATGAAGTGCTACAGCATTGCAGTGTGTTTGAAAAAGGTTTGTATGATCCAAATGTTGTCGCTGTGGCTGTATGGTTGTCTAGGTATGTGCTGGTGCATTACACACTTCTGCAACACTTTATAGACAAAGATATAGGCAAGTGGTCACACTTCCAAATCTATTTGCACATGTATATAGGTGCATGATTGACCCATTTTGCAAGCTTAAATGCCTCTCTTGCATGTACATGTTAGGTAGGCAGTTTGTAAATTGGACCTTCCAACATAAAGAAAAGCACAGCTGCATGTCAAGAGCAGAGCAAAACCTTTTTGGAGGCATGATGATATACTGTACATAGGTACGATGATATACTGAATACAAGCTCTAAACTGCTGTCTCTTGACAATTCTAAGAACCGCTAACAACTGAGAAGTGGCTATTGGACATAGCATATTTTAAAGTGGAGCACCAAAAAGTTACTGATCATAAATGCATCTGTGAAAAGTGATACACTGGAGTAATTAATACATGAAGCAGTATTGTAGAACATAAAATTACAATGGTCAAGGAAATATTCCTTAACACAGCAATTAGAAACACTTGAGTTACCATACTGAATCAGATAATTGGCCCATGTTGTCCAATACCCATTCCCCATAATTAGCTGCCAATCATGCTTCTGAAGGAGATGAATACCTTCTCCTCTCTGGTGTCCTGCAGCAAGTCGATTGTCTAGCTCTGACGACAATGGAAATATTTCTTCTTAACCTCTTCAATTTTCTTTTGCCATGAAGCTTGAAATTTGATCAGGCTTTTATTATTTTAGCATTTTAGCTTCCAACAAATGATATCCCTATTGACAAAATTATCCAGTCCTATTTTAAAGTGTGCCATATGCTATGTTGCCTTTTTGAAATATAAGTCTCAGACTGAAGAGATATCTGCCTTGGTCTTTTTTGTTTCTTAACAGAAAAATATTATACTTTCAAACTATTTCATATTTGCTCTAGCTTCATTTTTTTTTTGCTCCAGAGAGAGGACCCCATTATTATCAAAGGCAGTTTTCTTCTTCATTCTTCTAAGGTAGTCCTGTCTGTTGCAGCAGGAACAACTTTTAATGATGAAGCTCAGTGGTTTTCAAGCTGTTGTCTGCAGACCCCTAGGGGTTCGCAGACTATGTTTAAGGGGGTCCATGAAAGATGACTACGATCAATCAAAAGTATGTAAATACCCACACTTACAATTCAAAGGCTCCACACCTTCATTCAAAACTTTTTTGGGGTCCACAAATGATAAAAGGTTGAAAAACACTGATGAAGAGCAAAGAGAGTTACTACAGTGAGACAGCTGATTTACATAAGAGTAACCTTGCCAAAGGCCTGAGTGGGTGAGGTCTAAGATCTGTCCCACAAAAGAATTCTGATGACCTGGGAGCCAGTGGAAAGTATTTCAGCCCCTGAAAGAGACAGTATGGCAGGGGTGGAGAAATCAGCAGTGACCAGTGATTCATTTAAGTCAAGGGTGTCAAAGGTCAGTTCCAGCCCATGGAACTATGTCATCTAGCTTGTGGAGCGTGGTGGGGGGAGGAATTTGGTAGTAGGGTGAGCAGCAGCAGCATTCAATGTAATGGCTCCTAGAGCCATGGCAGCCACTGCTCACCGCATTGACAAATGTTCAGCCTCATAAGCAACTTTGCAGGCCAGACAACACTGTTCCTTGCTCTGAGTCAGTCCACAGGGAGCCCCACATCCCTTATTTAAGTGGTTTCTTATTGCCAATTCATTTCAGCTTCAAGAAAAGGTAAAATACCAAACTATCAACTTCTGACAAATGGTAAAATATATTCTCTTTTAATATCCTCAAATCCAGCAGTCTAGCGTTACTACTTACTTCCCAGCTAGAATCAACCAGTCACACAACAACAAATGCAAAATAACCCTATCCTCAAAAGACACTCACCCGTACCACATTACAGCCCTCATTCCAGAAAGACCATGAATATAGTTGAGATTGGTAGCAACTTCACAACTTCTAAATAGTTAAACAATAAAAATACCACTTTTCCTCCCAACAGTGGGGATGCAAATCAGATTTTTCCATACAGGAAAATAAATTTCTCCATCATTGGGGCTCCAGCTATTTTCCTTCTGCTTCAGTTGTCACAGGCTATCTGTAAACCAGACTGATTTGGTCAGACCTTAACATAAGCAAAATCTTCAATTGATGAGCCTGTAACACCACTGCAATGACTAGATGCAAGACTGTACTAACAACTATTAGCCATAGTCCCATGATCAGGAAAAGATATCCTCATTAAATGTTCCAAAGCATTATGATCTTCAGTATCTCCATCATGACTATGATAAGGAATTTCCTGAGCTCCTGCAGGAACTTTCAGCACAACAGCCCAATCAATGCACTGAGGCTATGTCTGAACTGCACACTTATTACTGTTCCTAGCAGTGGTATGCCCACATACACCATGCTGTATCACATATGTTAACCCCTGATAGGAAGCTGACGAGCTTCATCTATGCAGTGCCAGGGAAGGCTAATTAGTACTGATGAATGACAGTGCCAAGTAACCTGCTATCAGAATAGTATGGTTGTGGCTACACTACTTCTGGTCACAGGGTCTCATATACTGAACAGCACAGTATATTTGATGGTGCTGCTAACTGGCATGGTAGATTTGTGGTTTAGCCATAGTCTGAAAGTAGACCCATTTGAGTTCCATGCCAGCACATGCATCCATAATGAATTCCTGACTCCACTGAAGTAAACAGGAATTTCCCCAATTCCTTCTGTGAAGCCAAAGTCTCTAGTGCTCTATATCACAGGTTATCAACCTAGAGCCTGTGGAGCCACTGGATGTGGTACATGAAAGTGGGGCTTTGTTGATGTCTGGCAGCAGGTCTTTTACCATGCTGCAGGTGGGCAGTCATGTGACAGAGCTTTTCCATGCAATGCTGCAGCTGGATGGAAAAGAGAAGCAGCAGTGATAGCACAAGTTGGATCCTAGCACTGCCCTGCCTTCAACCTGAGGTGAGCCATTTTGGCCCACTGTAGGAAAAGACCACCCTGTCATCTATATGATTCATTTTTGGTATGGAAGGCTCTATGCTATTCAGTCTAGATGCAAACAGCACACCCTCACTCCTCTTCTTTTGGTTTACAAAGTCTCTGAAACATGGCTCAACTGTGTAAAAAAACAGGCCAGTGGTATCATCCAGTCAGATTTCAGTGATACAGACAAAATTGGAGACATCATCCTTTGTCGGTCATCCATGATTTAATATTTGGTTAACCACCAGCATGAACTGAAGAACAAATCTCAGTTTGCCAACACTGTAACCTCTCAAATCTAATTAAACTAAAAAAATATAAAAATCAATGGGCAGCCTTTCTTCTTCCATATCCTTTGTGCTGCTAACAATGGAAAATTGCTGAATCTTGACTCTCTCCCACCCAGTCCCTTTCATAGGTGAGGCTGCTGAATTTGTTTTCTGCCAGAAGGGATATCTAGGTGGTAGAGGAACAACCAGCCACATAAAAACAATTTGCTCTTCTCTTCTCATGAGAATAAAGAAATTGCAAGCAAGTCCTTAGAGGGACCCATCCTTTGGGAGTTAGCAGCACCTAACGTCACACTTCCCATCCAGTTTTAGGGGTCTAAGCTCAAAGCTATCAATGGACTTTGCTAGCATAAAGTGAAAGATCTCTTTAATTTGCCAGATATCCTGCTCCCAGACCACCACTGTAGCAAGATGCTTTTGGCATCCATAAGTGCATTTTGCCTGCTTTCTGATATCTTTAAAGAGAAATGGCTCCCAGATAGGCAGATCTTTTTGACAGGCCATGGGTACCAGTCCTTATCACCACAAGCCAACAGCAGATTTTTCCAGGTGAATGCTTTTTGGAGGCATCCAGCCCATAATTTTAAAATCTCTCTCTTGCTTCAGAAGCTAAATTATCCACTTGCTGTCTCATGACAGCTACAATAACAAATCCATCTTAAGGAACATATATGGAGAACTTCCTGAGATGCTGGTAGTGATTCTCAACCTTTTTAGACTCAAGGCACCTGTCGGAAAATGCCAGCTCTTAGTTTTCACTCATTTTTTTAGTGCATAAAATAATAGAGGAATTCTTCTGTTTGCAAATGACTCAGGTTGCGTCCAGACAAGTGCAGACTTTTGGTTCCCCAGGGACAAGTAGCAGTGGTGCACATTGAGCCAAAGCTACTTGTCCCTGAAGGATGCCCATGCCATGTGTACTTTGGTGCACAGCAAGTTACCCCAGGGGTGGTAGGGGAGGCTGGGACCAGCACTGTGCATATCCAGGGGTCAAAAAAACCCATGGGAAAAAAAATGGGGCAGTGTACGTACAGGCAGGATGCCCTTGCAGCATGGAGAACACCTCAGTGTGTGTTATGTGGTACTGCAGGCATGTTTGCGGTGCCACATACCGCACAGCTGCACTCATCTGGATGCACCACAA